TTTACATATGTTTATTACAGTGACTTTGAATTACCTAAAGTAGTGTGGTAAAGCAACAGATTTGTTTCTATATTTCTGCAATCTACTTTAGTTTGTGTGATTTGTTACTGACTTTCATATTAATGTCTACACCAGGCTTATCTGTCAGTGCTTTATGTTGTCATAATTATTCTTACATGCTTACAAGGTTGGAAGTTCAACAAATCAGTTAATATACTACTGTGATTGTAGTTGTTAAATAATAATGTCATTCATATCAATTCATGCATCACCTAATTTCATCGTAACATATAGGCCTGGCCTACAGAAAACCGCTCTTGCAGAGTATAATTTTGGACATGATTTCTATAACAAGAATATGATACATTTGACAAAGATTTGATTGGAAGAAACGTTTCAAGCAAGAATTTTCACACTCATACAAACCCGACATGAATATAATCCTATAAACTATTCAATAGTTATTCAAAATACACACACGATAAGTGATTACAACCTGATAGTCCAGTGTGTGGGTTACATACATGATGTGGAGTTAAGCAATGGACTGATATTAGTTTATAAGCCTTTTTGAGTTCATTTTGGTGCATCTACATGGAAAGGCAGTTTCTGTGCCATTCTGTGGATGTATGTGGACATGTTCTGTGAAGACCAGAGAGGTTAAAAAGGTCTCCTAAGGAATCTCAGTCTGTTCTTTGTCTTCTAGGTGGGGGAAAGTCAATCCAAAGAGCTCGTGATCGTGATTACTATCACTGCTTTACATGTGATGGTCATGCTGTGCATCTCTGACATGTTCTGTGAAGACCAGAGAGGTTAAAAAGGTCTGTAAGGAATCTCAGTCTGTTCTTTGTCTTCTAGGTGGGGGGAAAGTCAATCCAAAGAGCTCGTGATCGTGATTACTATCAGTGGTTTACATCTGATGGTCATGCTGTGCATCTCTTTGACCATTAATCTTGCCTATTTGCCCCAAAATTGACAATCTCCTTGGAATTGTCAAAAAGTGTTCTTTTGTTTAAATGCTGTGAGCTACTCAAAGCTGCTAGTTGGTGGACTTGCTTCAGGCTTGTGGCGTCAGGATCTGATTTACGAACATCCTGTGTCTTGGGCCTTTCTGTGGAATTCAGCTCCTCGTGTTTCAACCATGTTCTTGATGGAATCTTAAATTGTCTGAGTCGGTCTGATACCCTACACCTAATTTACATTTAACATTTCAGAGTAATAATGTTTTGAATGTGTAGATTTCATAAATTTAGACCGTTTTGAGCAGTCGTGTTCAAAGGAATTTAATGGAATCCATTGAAGTCAGTACTGGTAATTAGGGATGCACTGATAGGATTTTTTGGGGCCGATAACGATATCGATTTTAACAAACACTTATTGGCCGATTTCGATACCGATATTTGTCACTTCCTCTCTTATTTGAAATGTTGGCATCAAAATAGATAGTATTTTGATCATGTTTTAAAACAGCAAAGTTCAAAAACACCTGCATTAAATTATACTAGCCGTTTTATTGCTGCATCATCAAATAATTTCTAGTGAACATGGATTGGATCCATTTAACATTCAGCAGGCCTACATAAATACAACAGAACAAAGATACATAATAAATAAACAGTGCTTTTTAGGTAGGTTTAACAGTTTTCAGGTACAGAAATAAAGTAAACAAATGTAAAATAACACTTCACTGTATAAATTAAATACATATTAATCCTTTATTGTAACAGACTTTGATTAATCTTCTCATTTGTTTTTGTATACATTTTTACATATTTACATATTAATCCTTTATTGTAACAGACTTTGATTAATCTTCTCATTTGTTTTTGTATACATTTTAATATTTTTGTAAGTTTAAATATGTATGAGATCTCCTTTACTAAGGCGGGACTCTTATTTTGACGGGTATTCTAGTCTACGGAGCTATATGGGTAATGAAAGCAGCAAAGCACTAGTGATGGGAAGTTCGGATCATTTTACCGACTCGGACCTTTGAGTCTCGTTCAGCAAAATGAACGAATCTTTTTTCGAGTCATTTCGTTCATTTTAGCAAAATATAATTAAAATGTTACGTGTTACTTCCCTAACACGTCTACTACTTACGCAAACGTTGATCACACTACAAACAATACAAAACTGCTATAAGAAACAGAAAAGATTAATTAATTGTTTACCTGGGTCTTCAGTCTATGATTAGCGCACCTCACCTCTTATCTGACAAGTCTTCAGGTTTGAGTCGTTCATAACGTGACAGCTGAAACTTGGCCAGAAGGTAGAGCTCCCTGAGGGGACATTCTGACAAAGGCTCACCCCAATCGGCCAAAGGGGGGCACTACAGCGCGAAAAACTAAAATTTCATACATTTTTGGCCCTAACTCGTACACCTTTTGTCGTAGACTCAAAAATTTTACATCGTTGCAATTCTTGGGTCAACACAAACAAGAGACAGACAGATTTTCTCTACGACGCACGGTTTTTCCGTAAAATTGACCTATATCCCAAACCTACTTTTGCGAACTAGTCCAAGGTTTTTCACCCGATCGGAACCAAACCACTGCAGAAATATTCGCTGGACACTGAATATCAATAATTATCAAAAAAAAGTTGAAATTTCGATTTTTGCGCGAAACAGTATGCCAAGAAGCCTCTATGCTAACGTTAGCCAAATGTTAATTGAAGTATACCTCTTGAATGGAATGAGATATCTTCACCAAACTCAGTACACGTATGTAGGAGCTTAATCTTTGGTCAAATTAAAAAAAAAATGCGCAGCTTTGCCACTTGGGGGCGCTATAAGACAGAAAAAACATAAATTCAGCTATAACTAGGCAACCATTGGTCTGATCGACTTGAAAATTGGTATGCAGCGTCTTGGTCCAAAGTTGCACAAGTGTCTATGAGGACATTCGCATATCTCAAAAAACATGGCCGCCATTGACCAAACAATTTTAAGCACCTATTAAACAAGGTTAACGGAGGTCAATCAGAACGAAACTCGGTGGGCATGTTCGACTCAGGGCCTTAAAGGTCTGTAAGAATTTTGAAAGAAATCGGCCACTAGTTGGCACTAACGAGATTTTTTGGC